TTTTTATTTGTTTTGCTTATTGTTTGAATTAAGTTTCTACACTTTTAAATTTAACTTCAAATAAACAATTTATATTGAAATTTTTGAAATGTGGAATTGTTTTACATTCAAACTTGTATCTTGATTGCTATACTCCTATTGTACTCACCAGGCTTCTTCAGGTGGCTTTTGTACTCGATAACTTTCTTGAAATTTTAAACCAAATCATGTATTCAATCCACATGGGTAGGCTGCTTTTAATTTACAATATGCTATATAAAGAAATACACATTGATTCTTTGTCCACATGCAAATTTTTAATTTATTGTATTTCTGTCATAATGAATAAACATACTTTGATATAATTGTACACAGATGCATAATAACTAAATATGCATAGAAAACAGAAATTTTTTGACAGAATAAAATAAATTTTATTTATCCATTTTAATGGATGAAAAAATATTTGTAATCAAAAACAAAATTTCAGCTTTTAAATCTTTTAAATTGCTTTAATACCATATATTATTCAGGGAGTTTTTCTAGAATGTTCTTTAATGTTATCAGCCCCATCATTTTTAGCCTAAAATATACAAACAGAACATTCTGTAATTCATATTTAATGCAAGAAGGTTATCATAAATAAAAAAATTTGACAAATTCACAAAAGAAATATCTTTTAAAAAAAAAAAAAAAAGCCCCCTTCATCAAAAGATGGAATTCTACTAATACACAAATTTGACACTAGCTTTTGATGTGCAAAATTTTTAACCATTTCAACCTTGTTGTTTAAAAGGAAATTGCCACAGTACTATAAGGATGTATTCAATTGTCCATTAGTCAAATAACAAATTTCCTTTAATAACAACCATAGAGGAATATCTCTTCTTTTTCACTGCTAGCAAAATCCTTATTTTATCATCCTGAATGGCTTACAATGAATTTGTCATTACCAGAGAAATAATGTGGTTCAAATCAAAGTAAAGGAACTGTGGATATGATCTTTTTGTCTCCATCAGGCTCAAAAAAGGCATGAAAAACAAAACAAGTTTGTTTATTTTATTTTTTTTTGTAGACTTCATAAGGCTTTAACATTTGTATCTCGAACTGCTCCTTGGAAAGTTTTGTCAAAATTAAATGTTCCAAAAAAAATAAATCTTTAATGAAGGAATGAAAAGCTTTTTTTAGGTCAGGAATTAGCAATTAGAAAAACAAAAATTTCTATAGAAAAGAAATTGTTTTCTGATGTTTCTTCATATCTTTATAATTCATCCTAAGAATAAAAATATGAATACACAATATACTGTAAGAAAAATTTACAAACCCATTATTAAAAAAAAATTCATGAAACAAAATTTATTCATTAATAATGTTAGATGAAATTAAACATTAAAAAATATTTTTTTTTTAAATAACATTATGTTTAGAAATGCTAAAAATTATTCTTGTAAAAATATAATTAAAAAAAGTATTCATATAGTACCTATTTCAGATTTTAAAACTTTTAAATTCTTTTTTTCATTTTTTTTTCAAATATATAAATACAGGATATTCCAAATTTATCATTATTATTTAAACTAAAATTTCAAATTTAATTCTGTAATTGATATTCGTTGTTGAAAATTCTCTGTCAATGTCAAGAGGTAAAGAATTGGAAAATTCATAAGAAAAAAAAAAAATTGTTAAGTTCAAAAAAGGTAAAAGTTACAGGAAAATCTCAGACAACCTGAATATTCCATTTACTACTATTAGTTCATTCATTGCAAAGTATAAAAAAAACTCAAAACTGTTGAAAATCAAAGAATATATGCTCCACAGAAGATTTCTTCAAGATCTTTGAGGAAATTAATGTGTCAAATTAAACAAAGTCCAATGGTTACTCGTCAAAAATTGCAGAATGATTTGCTTTCATCAGGAATCTGTACTAAATGGACAATAAACAATGAAATTCATAAGAATCTAAAATCACTCTCCTCTTGGAAAATTCCACTGCTATTGAAAAGACACAGAAATCCCAGACTGAAATTTGTGAGCATAAGGATAGGGAAAAATCCTATTGGTATTATGGACAGACAAAACCAAAATGGAGTTGTTTGGACGTAATTCTAGAAATCATGTATAGAGGAAAGATGGCAATACCTTCAAACAAAAGAACACAGTTCCAACAGTGAAATTTGGTAGTAGCAACATCATGGCTTAGAGATGTTTTTATGCAAAAGGTACTGGCACAGTAATAGATGGTAGAATGAATACCGCAGCATATCAAAATATTTAAAATTTAATGATTTCGGTTGAAATTATTAAACTTCTTCCTGATTGGATCTTCCAACAAGATAATGATCCTAAGTACACTGCAAAATCTACAAAGAAATAGCTTGCTGAAAATAATGTAAATATCCTGAAATGGCCAAGTCAGTCCTCAGATTTAAACCCAATTGAGAAACTGTGACATTATTTGAAAATTCAAATCCAATCAAGAGCTGCAACAAACATCCCGGATCTGAAGACCATATGCAAAGAAGAATAGAACAAAATACCAACTAAAACGTGCAAATCATTAATTGTGAACTACAAGAGATTGGTTGCTGTAGAAGTGAATAATGTCTATTCTACAAAGTATTAAATGAAGATCATGTATTCTTTTTGTATTGTATGAATACTTTTTGCCCATTAAAATAGATGAATGGGATTTATTTTTATCAAATCAATATTTCCTGTTTTCTATGCATATTTAGTTATGTGACACTATTTAGCTATGGTAATTGGCTAAATAATTAACCATAGAAATTAAAAACAGGAAAGACTTAAGGCAAGAAAGAGCTATATCAAAAGATAGACTGACATTAAAAAAAAAAAATTTATTTTATTTACAAAAGAAAGATATTTTTTCGACGAAAGACATAAAATCAGTAAGAAAAATGAGAGGAGATTTTGTCAAAACTGATTAACGCCATGGTAAGGGAATGACACGCCAAGGGAAACAGAATTCAGAAAGAAAAACAAAGCTGGCCAACACATGGCGGTCATAAAAACATTTTGGACAACTGCGATACAGGCAGAGAGAATCGATATTAGTTATCTTTCAGAGATATCATTTAATTTTGATTCCTGGGTTCAATGAAGGAAATCATCTGGTATATGTTAAATTCTGACATTGAGATTTGAAAATCATTTTTATCAAACTGTTGACGTCAGACATGGCGTGAAAATAAAATGAGCATCTTGTGATAAGAGGATTTTAAGGCATGAGAAAAATAAAGAATTTGATTCTCAGGTAAAACACGGAATTACCCCCCATTAAAAGTTAACAGCAGAGAATCCAGATGTCAGGTTTTACATTGATTGATGAGTCAGTGGAGAGACCTAAGTGAATTTTGGGTGTCCCCAAAAGAAAGATGTGATAAGAATTATTTGGCTATCTGGGGTTTGTGGAAAAAAATGTTTTGGCCGATGGAAAAAAAGGATTTTGTAAACAAAATTCTGGATAATAATTTTAAGAGGGCCAATCTAGCCACATACACACTGCTGAGAGATCATTGGCCAAGTGGTAGCATGGGTGATAGGTGGAGGTGAATGTATAAGAAAGATGGAGAAGTTGTTAACACCCACCGAAGGGATTGGTATGAGATACCAATGTGAGAGTGGAAGAGTCTAGGAGGATAACTCCCCTCCGACCTTCCCTTACAGATGAGGGAAAAACCCACGAAATGGAAAGTGATTAATCTTCCAACAATGGGAAGTAATTAATTTTCCTAGCCTAAGAATAAAGAGAATTCTTGTTGGGAATCGCGAATTATCGAGGAACCCAAACCACGTGAGTCCCCACACCGGGTTTTGGTCAGTATCCATATAAACGAACGTCTCCAGGCAATTTGAGATGATTCGCAGTTGGAGTTCAGTTCCAGACAGAGCCAGAGTGTTGCCTCGCAGAAGCTGACCAAGAATTTCCACGTCCTTTCGACTGACTTCCTACCAAAAGCAAGTTATATTGATGAACGACTTAAGATACCAAAACTCACTTAAGAAACGCAAAAGTGTCACAAATCCATAGAAAGGGCTGGGAGAGAAACACACTCCTGTATTAACAACGGATAAAGATAATTTGTTATTTCTCAACATATTTGAACCTCTTGAGTTTTGTTTTATTATTTTTTTTACTTAACTTACGCTTGTGCGATATCACCTTCACCCCAGATTGAGCTTGCACTTCTGAAAGACACCTGATTGATTTCATCTACCTAAGATCAGTCACAACATGGGTAAGTTAGACTTGAGATCAAAGTAGTTACTTCGGTAACCAGACATTGGAAGTGAGCTGGGAACAACAAAGCTGGTATTGAACCGGGAATGACCAGATACACTGTGACACAGGCCGGTGGCAGCGACAAGGAGTCAGGCCCCAAACGCTGGTGAAAGAAACCTTAACAGCTTCGCACCGCAACTGGGAGTTGACCACGGGCTGACAGTGCAGTGTCACATATTGGCGTCATGACCAGAGGACGTCACGTATTGGCGCTGCGACCACCAGTGGGTGTCACAGTTACTATGCATTTGTGTAGAGTTAATTATATGAAAATTTATTAGTTGAAAATACAAATTAAAAATTTGTATGTGTACAAGTATTTGTTTACCCCACTGTATCTGGCATCAGTTCTCTCTATTTAACCTTTGTATGGCTTGGCAGTTTCTTCTAATGACTATAACTTTCAAAACTCAACAACCAGCACTTTAATTCACTGGAGAACCAATGGTGCGATTTTGAAGCCTTAAAACTAATATCTACTCTACTCAGGTGATGGAAAGTTTGAATGTCTTAATCAGTGTCCCCAGATGATGTTCACTTCTATGTCTACTGAAAAATTGTCAGAACCAAACAGATAACTGAATGTGTTGATTTTTGTTTTCTGCATTTTATAGTTTTATTAGAGTTAAGATGAATTATGTCCAACTATAACAGATTTCCATAATTTATAAAATCCTGACGAATGTATTGCTTTCAAAAATGTATTTAACATTTTATTCTATACTTGCCATGGGGTTCCAGGTACTGGTGTACTGGAAACTGGACGTGCTTTATCTGCAGCCTTTTGCTCTTCTGACTTTTCTTCAGTCTCTTTCTGCTTTTCATCCTAAGAATAAAAATATGAACTGCTTACTGTAAGAAAATTTTTACAAACCACATTAGCAAAAAAGATAAATTCATGAAACAACCTTTATAAATTAATAATGTTAGATGACTTAAACATACAAGTTGAAATATTTTAGTTTTTAACATTATGTACAGAAATGAAAAATTATTCTTGTAAAAATATAATTACATTCCTGCTTGCAGTACCTATTTCAGACCGAAACAGTTACTTTCTGGTTTCATTTTTTTAAACATATAGATACAGGATATGAGTAAATTGATATCACCATTTAAACTCAAATTTCAGATTTAATGACACGTACACTGACAGAGAATTTTCAACATCAGGAAGGAAAAAAAACTGCTGTGTTCAAGTAAATCAGAAAGGGGTGTGAAATTTGAGAAAAAAATTCCATTACAATAAGTAGCATGGCAGTATGTGTCAGCCCAAGAACAGTAACATAGTATCATCTGACATGCATTATCATAAAGAATAATGCTAAGCTCATGTGACAGTTTGGCAGAGTTATTGCATCAGGCAACAGAATATATCTCTAAACTTAAATGTGAAAATTTCAGTAGTATGAACCAAATTTTAATATTCTTTCTTTTTGAAATATTAATGTTAACATGGCAACTCCCAATCTGACACAGGAAATCAAAAGGCATGTATGCAGATGGCCCTAGCCACAAACCACAGCAACTTGGAGAGTCAGCTTCTTGAAAGGCCAGATCCTTTGTATTAACATTAAAACAAATTGACTATCAGATATGTGGTGCATGTGAATAGGCATAAGAATAGATGGTTCTGTGCAGATAAACAAAAATATACTCCAAGTTTGTGTCATTTGTAGTAATCCCAGTGGTTGTGAACCTAAAGGGCCAATGTTACAATAATTCCTTCCAAACAGGGTCTCAGGATCAATACTGTCACCTACATGAAGGTGCTGGACATGGGATGGCTGTTTATGTTCCCATGTGGACTCAGGATTGAGAGACCAAGAATTTTCAGTCATGCTATCTAATCTGTAGTTTTCTAGTTCTCAATTTGAATCCTGAAAGCTATCCTTTAGGTGTTGCCAAGCAGGAGACCAACTAGCAGCCACATAATAGCTTTGATTCATTGATGGTTATTATTATGAAAGCACTTGAAATACTGCCATATTGAGGCTGCCTTTGATGATGAGGGTGGCTTTATTGAAAACCTTTGTTTTTTTAAGTTTAAAATGTACACAAATTCTTTTGAAAATTTACTGATTTTCTTTTTCTACTGAATATCTTTATAATACAAAAAAAAAAAAAAAGAGAAGATATTCAATAATTTGTTCAAAACAAAAACAAACCCAAAATGTTTCCCTTTTCTCACCTCATCACTTTTCTCTTCATCTTTTTCATTTTGCAAAGTTTCCATTGGTATTTCTTCAGTCTCATCAGTCCCATTTACCTGCATTATGGAGTTCAGCTGGGCAGGGGATTCTGCAGCTGTTGTCAACTGATCAGGTTTCTGCAGCTGTGCTAGTTTAGCTATATATTGGTGATAAGTAGCCACATTATTATTAGAAGTTAAACAAAAACAATTATATGAGATTTATTAAAAATTTACAAAAAGACAAAAAAAAAACAAATTATTCCCTATTAAAAATGTGGGCAGTGATGCTATGTGCAAAGAATTACAATCAAAACATACAAAAAATTAAAAATGTCTTAAAAGAATTTAATATAAAGCCTCTTTATATAACCACAAAAAATTCAAATAATGTTTACATTCTAGGATATTATTAAAGGAGCTTTCCACTGTTCACCTAAATTTTAAATAACTACAATGTCTTTTCTAAGATCTTAGCCTACCCAAAGAAATGCCATTATTCAGACACTTCAAAATTTGCAGATTGACTTCTAGCCTCATTCCACAAAATAACATTTCACGAGCAAAAACTGAAAAAGCAAGTTGAGCAGTTAACATATAACTAATAAAAAAATGTAATTGAATTATATATATGTGATATTTTTTTTTAAGGAGCAAAATACTCTATGGGTTAATGACATGAAATAACTGAGAACTAATGTTAAAAACAGATTAAAATATTTTTGTATGATTCTCAAAATTAGCAACAAGCCTATATATTACTTTAGTTACCATAATATATTTTTAAGCAAATCTAGTTATTGGCTGACAGTTGGACTTGCAACTGATCATGAAATAAATATTGCTACAATCAGTTTAAGAATAAATATTTAATCAATACACTAGAAATTAAAAAAATAATCTAAAAGGCATTGTATTTTAAAAATCAAAGATCTTAAAATGTTTAAATAAAACTATTTAAAAGTATTATAAAAAGTAATCGCAAATGTTTTATAAAAATTATAGACAAAACTTATTCATGTTATTATCAAACAAACAGTTATGTGCCAAATAAATATACTAAAAGATAGAGAACTGCTAGAAAAATAATATACTTAGAATGGTTAATCCAATCAAGAGATTGGATATAGTGATCTTCCAAAACTGAAAGAGATAAAATTGTTTAATTTTTATGTTTCTTTAAAAATGTTACATAGTGATATTAAAAGTTACAACTGGTACAGCTGATGCTAGGCTTCAACATGAAGCATTTACTAATACATTTTCCCATTTGAAAAAACAGTAAATCTCAAAGCATGATTAAAATAAAAGTTATAAAAAGTAATAAATTCCCATTTAAAAATATAAAGATTATGTTGATTGGATTAAGTATTATTTCTTTTTTTACACCAGTGAAGAAATATAAGAACTTCATTTTCAAAGTTATTAACATTTTAAAGATAAAACTGCTTTAAGATTCAAATATTAATCACTAGTTTATTATGTTAAAAATAGAAATAACATTCAATAATTGAAGTATTTCCTGATAATTGAGATCATTTATACAGTAAAAAATATTCCCTTACTACATTAAAATATTTATCTAATTTTAATTTTGCAATCCAACATACACATTAAAAAAAATTTAGGGAAATCACATTTTCTCATGTACAAAATTAGTTTTCAAATGTAAAAATCAAAGCAAAATATACACATATTTTAAAACTTACATATTACATATGGAATAGCAACTACAGTTATTAGTATCTAAATATTAAAAAATATTTTTTAACATTCTTACCATCCCAATCTATAAGAACCTGAGGCTTATCCCAAGTAGATTCCATTGTTTTTGCATTGTAATAGTAAACCCGACCATCAGCATTCTTGTGTTCAGACCATTCAGCCACTTCAGTAGGTTTAGCAGGAAGCTGCAGTGAATAGGGATAGCAAATAAAATCAGTGTCATAAATATTTCAGAATATAGATATTAAGATGGACTCTAAATTAAATATCAGATAAAATTCATTTTAGGCAAAAAAGTTGAATGTTTTTCTATTTATGCAAGGATCCATCCAAAAGCAATGCCTCCTCTTAGTATTTTTTTAAGACATAGATGTTGCTGGTATGATAGCAGAGATTGAATTATCATTTTGTTGTATGTTTGTTTTATTAGATAGAAGTTGAGCATGAGCCTAGCAAAATAGCATTAGTCATGAAACTGCATATCAAGCAGTGAACTAATCTATGCATAAATAATTTCATCTATTGACACATTAATGCTCGATGAAAATTTACAGATATCAAATATGAGAGTAAGGTGTGTGTGTGTGTGTGGGGGGGGTCTCAAACTGTTGAGTGCAGCATGCAGACTCTTTAACCACTAGCAAAAAACATGTAGTGGTGGTGAATGAGGGAAAAAAAAAAAAAAAAAAAAAATCAGTTTGTAAGCTTGCCCTATCCAATGGTGTCATTGTACGACCTGTATCTGTTGTACTTTCCATGGAAATAAAAGGAGGCATTACTCTCAGAGAATCACTTTTCTAAAAAAATACATTTTATTCTGTATAATAGAATATCTTATTTGGAATGACCAACCTGTCCTTGAGGAGGTTTTTCAGCCACAACAGCAGACTGATCATTGATCATTGGATCTGTTTGGGGAGCAACACTTGCATTAAGTGTGGGTGTTACAACTGCAGCAGTTGACTGGGTGGACACAGCTCCTGCAGCAGCTACGGCAGCTGGAACAGTGGCAGCAGCAGCAGCAACAGCCAGCTGCTGCATTACTTGTGGGGTGAAACCTGGAGGCATCAAAGCGGGATTGAAACCAGGTGGCATATCTGCAATAACAATTTAAATAACAAATGGTTTTACATTCCCATATAGATAGTCCAGTGGGATTTGATGAATCTGATTTCAGCTGTAATAAAATTTATTAGCCTGTTGTTTCTTAATGAGCTGAATAGTATTTTTGTTTACTTTTTCTTTTAATTTGTTTGTTTTTTATCAAGAAAGATATAAAGTTACCAGTGTTGTTTAAAATAACAAATGTTAGTTTCATCACCTTTCTGAATTCTAATATCTTTGTTATTTCTAAAATTTGAACGTTGCTTTAATGCTTTGATTAACAGTGGAGTTCATTTCCTATAACCCTATCTACTTTTCTAGGTGAAATCTAGGGTGAGTTGTAATGTGTTTATTAACTTGCAATTTTCTTTTATATACTACTAGCAGTAGAGCCTGGCGTTGCCCGGGGATTAACAGTAAGAGATAGATCAAGTATCGACCATCATAAAGACTGAAAAATAAAATTGACAAAGATTATTGTTTAAGGTTGACAGACATGCATGCCTTAATTAGTTTTTTTTTTTTTTTTTTACGAATTGGTCAGACCCAAACAAAAACATTTTTTTCAATCGTTATGAGCCTATCGATTGAATAGAATTTTATTATAAACAATTGTCTTGTAAATGGAATTTTAAAAGCATTCTGAATGTAAAAATAAAGAAAAAAGTGTGCAAGACAATAAGAAACACTACCTGCCCCCCCCAAAAAAAAAAAAAGTGAAGATTTGTTGAAATCTGTTGAAAATGTAGGAAATCTGATCCCATATATAAACGAACAAACAACCTAGGTTTTTATAATTATAACTCGATATGAGTTGTCCCCCTTTCATTCTGACAACAGAATCGGGTTTTCAAATTGATTTTGTGCAAAAACAATTGTTTTTCCAATTATTTGGGCGCTGTCAGAACCACCACAACGTAATTTTATGCAGTGCTGTGAAGTTTTGTTGAAATCGGTTGAAAAATGTCGGAAATCCGATCCAATATATAAACGTACAGACACACACACACACAATCAGCGTTTTATAATAAGTAAGATCACAGAGGAGGTTTATCTGAGGTTAAGTAATTCCTTGTCTTGTAAGTTCATAGCCAGATTAATAGTCACCAAATATATTTTAAAAAGAAACACCTCACATTAAACAATATCTTTCATTATAGGAAAATAATTTAAAAATGATATATCTTGGTCCTTAAGTTTTTTGATTTAACAGACTTTTTTATTTAAATATTGCTTAGTTACAAACCATTCACCACATGCTATCTCTTGCATTCAATACATATGTATTGAAATTAAAATTACAGTATTTATAAAATAAATGACATGATGAAATTAATAGAAAAATTTTCTTTTGTAACTGATACCACTAATATTCCTGATGACTAGTTTTAGATGAAAGTATTTTTTTAAACTTTGGACAGTTTTTGCATAAATTTGATTTGGCTGTGCAACAATTTCTATACAAACTGTAAAAATGTAATAAAAATTAGACAAGCTATATTGGTTGGATTCAATAAACTTGTTTGAATGAATTGTTGTTGCTAAGCATATATATATATATATATATATATATATATATATATATATATGTGTGTGTGTGTGTGTGTGTGGAGGATACATATAACAATTCAGAAAATCTGGCATCATCAGTTGATTAATCTTAAATCAAAATCTAGATCGGTAATTGTGAGAGAAGCCCTTTCCTTAAACAGAGAAATTTAGCATTCATTGACTGAATGGTTAGCATTATTGTCAGTTGAAATTTATAAATTATTTTTCTCAAAACAGTTTTAGAGGAAAATAGCCTTCTCAAGTTCAGTTATTACTCTTAGTATTGATGAGGGTAACTTTTTCTTTGAAGTATTGTGGAGTATCAACATCTTGATTATGTTATTTTCTCTGGGTTATATGCATTATCCAGTTTAGTAGCTGCTGTTGAAAGAGTGATGTGGGTCATTATTTGGTAAATTTCTTGGTGATTCTGTAGCACCTGTCCACAAATTTTACAAAAGACCAAAAATCTGGTTTATAGAAAATAAAACATTTTGAACTAAAGTTAAAAAAAAAAAAATCTAATTTTTGAGAACACCCAGAAAACAAATCTAATACTGTGATTAAGCAATTCCAAAAGGCAGAGAATATAGACTTATTGAGTTGAAAGAAAGAAGCACATGTTTGTGTTACATGATCAAGAGTGTGTGTGTGTCATAATGAAATAGAACCAGCTCAATGATACATCGGGTAAATTATCGATGCTAGATTTACACAATCTACATCTATAGCATATTAACAAAACAAGATAAGTGTATATGTATCCCTTAAGTGACCAAAATACATATTTAAAAAAAAAAAAGAAAGAAAGAAGGGGGAGGTGAAAATACATGCTTAAAATTTTAAGTGAATAGTTTGGAAAAGTGTTTAATAGTCACCCAAGACCAGAAGTGATGCATTTCTTGATACATGTCCAACGAGCATATGCTGATTGATAAATCCTAAACAGTCATGACTCTTAGAACTTAGCAAGAATGGTTTAATTGCTTCCATAACCATCATTAATAAAACTAAAAGACCCCTACCTTTATACATACAAAACTATTTTTTCATTTCTTGAATTTAGACTTTCTTTTTACGATCAAGTCTTTCTTTTGGAGTTAAGGGCAAAAATAATGCAGAGTTTTCGTTGGTTTGAACAATCAATCATTTGTAAAAGGGTGAGCCAAGATTGAATTTTTAAATAAAATAGAGATTTGTAATAAGTTTTTACCTTGAGCTACAGCAGTTTGTGCAGCAGTTGTTGTAGAAGTTGGAGAATTTGATACTGTGCTAACAGTAGCACTTGGAGTTGTTTGGGTAGTCATCTGTGCAGCCATTGCTTCTACTTCAGTCTGAGTGATGATCTTGACATTTTCTGGCTTGGTCCATGCTGATTCACGAGTTCTTGCATTGTAATAATAACACTAAAAGACAGAAAAAGATCATTAAAGTCATTAGATCAGAGAACCAACAAATTTTCTCAGTAAAAATAATTATATAAAATGAACATAGACATAATGCACATTGATGACAAGCACATGTGAACAATTCTTCAAGTTCAAAATGAAATTATTTAGGTGGAATCATTTGTGCCTATCATAAAAACAAATTTTTAGTTGTTTTCCCCCCAAAATACCACAAAACAAGACTAATAATTGTGATCCAACTTTTGCTTTTAGAAGTCATTTTCCTTCACCCACTTACATAAGTTACATTTGATACAAAATTAAAAAGAAATGTCAAACATATGAAAGGGTGTTGAGAAGTTGTTTGTCTAGGAAAGGATAAAAGAAAAAATAAATAAATAAAAAAAAATTTGATCATTGGTCAGATTTTAGTAAATGGGATGGGCCGAAGAATTTTCCAAAATCTCCTTGTAAGCATCTTTTATAATTACTATTAGTGATGGGACAATACCAATATTTTTACCAATTCCAATACTGTTCTAAATTTCCCATTCCAATACATACAATGATCGAAATTCATTATTTTCAGGCCCTACAGTTGGCTTGAGAAACTTAGTGGACAAAGTACATTTATTAATAAAACATTTAGTAGAAAAATTAATACAAAAGCTTAGGAAATAAAGTTAGGTATCCTTTTAATTTAAAAAATTGGGTAAGAGTTAACAATAAAGAGAACAATTTCTTTATGTAAAAAATCACTCAAGTAGCTAGTGAGAGTTGACATATTGCTTAGCTTAGCAGAAAAGTGTAGTTTGGAAGTTTAAGATTTCGGATGATAGCCAATATCATCAGAAATCTTAAACTTCCAAACTACACTTTTCTGCTTATAATCAGATACACTTGCCATAATCAGAGTTTGAAAAACTTATATTTCATTTGGCTCCAATGAGAAACAAATGAGAAAAAAATTTCAAAATATTTGAAATGCCATAATAATGTAACACAGAAAAACAATTATATCAAAGAAAAACATTAGTAAAATAAAATTAAATACCACTTTTGATGGAAATTAAATTTTAGGTTTTTTAATACAAGCTTTTGTATGAAGAAGCATTTTTTTCAGGAAACTTGAAATAAAAGTTTATTTTTTTTCAAGTAGGTACCTCTACAAAAATGCTGATGACAAACATGCTCCAAAACATAATTTTATCATGTCATAAGAGTGCTAATTTCAGTAGTGCTTATTTTTTTAAAATTGTAATTTTCTTCCTGAACAGTTCTTTTAAATCAATTAAGTGGGTAATATATCTTGGTAAAATCATTCTCAATAAAAATCGGACATTTTGACACATTTGTAAACGAAAGTTAATTCCTGGTTTAAAAAAATTTGCAAAAATAAAATATATATTTCTGAACCGTTATTTGATGAAAATTTGAAAAAAAAAAAAAAGAGTAATTATATTGCACAAACAAAATTCTTCAGGTATTCAAAATTTATTAAGTTGTCAATTAATTTACCTTTCCTTCAGCCGTTTTAGTTTCAACCCACAATTCTTGATTACTTGTATCCAAAGCAGCATTTTGGGATGGCATTGCTGCCATGGTGGTGGCAGGAGCATTTGATACAGGAGGAGGCAATGAAAAACCAGGGGGGGGAACTGAAAAGTTTGGAGGTGGGATATTTGGAGGAGGCATCATAGGTGGACGCTGAAAAACAAATAGTATCATTCATTTAGCCTTTTATGAAATATTTTTATCATTTTAAAATAATAAATGATGGCAATTTTTTTTAAAACTGAACTCGCTGGGTTTGCAAATTATTTAATTATAATATTTAAAAATAATTTTTTAAGGTTGAATTAGAAGAACAAGATTCAAATAATATTTACTAACAGGAGGTGGTCCAGGCGGTCCGGGGGGCATCCCAGGTGGTCCATGTGGTGGTCCTGGAGGTCCATGTGGAGACATTCCTGGTGGTCCATGTGGTCCAGGTCCTGGCCCATGTGGTCCTGGTGGTCCCATGCCAGGTGGTGGTGGAGGCATACCACCAGGCATACCACCACCATGAGGGCCATGCATGCCAGGTGGAGGGCCATAATTAGGGTCAAATGGTGGTCTACCAAATGGAGGTCCTCGAGGACCTCCAGGTCCAGGTGGTGGCCCTCTCATACCAGGTGGAGGTGGGCCTCTCATGCCAGGTGGAGGTGGGCCTCTCATCATGCCAGGTGGAGGGCCTGGAGGCCCACGAAATCTAGGAGGAGGTCCGGGAGGGGTCCACGACCAAAATGTGGTGGTGGACCAGGGGTCCAGGCCTGAAGAAAAATTTTTTTAGATATATAAATATATATATATATATATATATATATATATATATATATATATATATATATATATATATATATATTTAAAGTACACATTTTGATTGACCAATACCAAAATTGATTAATTCAATGCCAATCAAATTTTTACAATGTGTAAACATTGTGCAACTAACATTAAATTTAGGTATCTCTACTAATTCAGTATACCTAAAGCTTAAAATGAATTTTCATAAATGAAAGATCTTTCTTGAAGGTTTCATTTTAGTTTTATTTGAAAGCTGAAGGATTAAATTTACTATTTACAGTAAGCAAAATACACAAAATAAAGGATTCATTGTTTTGGGCTAAAAATAGCTACCCATTTTTTTTTTTAGCCATCTGTCATAACAATGAATTTTTCTTTATTAAAAATCTAAAAATAAAATATGCTTTTCTGAAACTTTATTTGAGGAATATTAGCTGATTTAAATTAAATCAAAATTAATCCGATTTGAAAAAATATTTACTTAGTTTGAAAATAACAGAAATAGATTTTTAATACAAAGAGTAGCAGTGATTAAGTGCTCGCCAAGTGATTTATGAGGTATTGACATGTTTATTGCTGTTCTACAAAGACTTTATCTGTTAAAACAATTTAAGAAAATGATGGGTGAACACTTTTTTTATGTAATTTTTAAGTACTCAGTAATCATGAAAATGTAGGCAATATTCTCCATAATCTAATTTTAGGAAAATTTACTACCATGATCGATTTTATTTTCTATGATCACCCATACTTTCAAAATCTGCACTCTACACGTTTATACACATAAAAAAGAAAAAATTATTTTAAAAATATTAGGTCGTTAGGATTTGTAGTAGGCTTCTCAAAACTTTATAAATTATTATAATAATAAAAAAAAATCCTGTAAAAATTCATTATTCAACGAAAAAAAGGTTTTCTCTTCATATTATGTCCTGAATATAAATTATTTATGAATGCAATTAAAAGCTTATCTAATAATTAGATAATTTTATTGCCCCTTTTATTTTATGATTTTGAGCGAATTTCAGGAAATTTGGTAAAAGTGTGAAAGAAAAAAAAAAATATTGGAGGATGAATTTAATTTCTAGAAATTTCATGAAATTGAGTGTGTGTGTGTGTGTAAAAGGGGACAGATGAAAAAAAAATTTTTTTACCAAGATGTTCTAAAAAAGAATTTCAAGATTAAATTCATTCATTTGTGAATAAGTACTAAAGGTTTCACTAAAATCCAACAATTATCTGATTTTTGCAAGACTTTCGAAATTAATGTGTTATTTTACCAGAAAAGGCATGAAAATTTCCGTTACCAGTTGTTTCACAGTTGACACATTAAAAAAGAAAAAAAAAGATTTTTAACAAAAATTTCAAGCGTTTTAGAAAGGAGCAAAAAATTTTGAAAAAATACTTTATTCTTATCTCTTAATAATAACAATTTTGATGATAAAACTTTGTTTTTAAGTTTTTTTCATTAGGCTATGCTCTTTTTTTCAGCAAATTATTGGCTGTACTTATAGGTATGTGCGTGCATATATGTAAATACATAAGAGGGACATGAAAAATTCTTGAAAAATATGAAAAATGACAATTTTTTTTTTTTTTTAATACATTTTCTTCTAATCTCAATATACAGGATTCTGTTCGATATATCTAACTAGGGAAGACCAAAAATAGGCTGACTGAAAGATTGTGATTAAAACAAAGATGATGCTAGTCAAAATAATTCATAGAATAATAAGTCTCTACACAATTTTAGACCTTACCTAAACACATTCACACAATGCCCAAACAGTTTCCTACTAGAACTTATTTCCAATAGCATTATTAATTATTGTATTTTGGAGAATTAAGTGCATATATTAGATTACGTGGAAGTGGGGCTTCAAGATCAATTTTGATGCAAGTCTTATTATTGTAATTTAGTTATATGTGCTGACTTCAGTTTCAATATTTTTATAATAGGGTTCTATATCAATTGCATCAACTTCATTCTTGATCTAGTCATTGCTTTTTCCTTCCATACTAGGTCTGATTTTGTAGCCCTTTTCCATACCATTGCTTCATCTGGCTTCATCTTTATCCACACCTGAACAGAATGCAGTTTTTAGTGCAAAGCACTTTCCATTGAAATTACTCTCTTATGCAAATACTGAGATCTGCTAACAAATTTTGAGAATGAAAATGTAACAGCCACCTACCTTACATCACATAAAAGAAAAACACAGAATCTGTTATGATTTAGAATTTAAATTTTTATATTTCTGCATGTAAGTTTGATTTTTAAAGAATTTCTTTCATTTGCTTTTTTTAACTCATTTTTTTTTCGAATAGAACTGATTACAAAGTAGAAATAATAATTTTAATAAATTGGCATCTTACAATTGTAAATTCTGCTTTTTGCAAAATCTAACTGGATCTTTCTTTAAAGATCAGATAATTTGGCATTTTTCAATGAGAATTATCTCAAAAACTGAAAGTAAAATATCGTTTTAGAAATTGAAAGTTTCAAAAACAAAAGTAATCAAAATATTTTTCTCTTTAACTGCCTTTAAATAAAAAATCCGATCTGAAAGTATTGCAAAGTAATTTACTATCTGACAGAATTTTTTTTTATTTCAGTGAGGGCCTTTTTAAGTTCTGTGATAAGATTTAGGGATCCATTTTTCCATAAAAATGCTTAATTATTTTCATTTGGGTAAATTTACATCTTTTTATTTTTCACATGAATTAAGAAAAAAAAAAAAAAAAAAAAAAAGTAAATTAATAGATGTTCAAGAATTATTTTTTTGCGGTTCAATGTTTCTAAGTTAATGATCTGAAAAATTTAAAAGATACGTTAAGCTTAGATTGTGCTTAGTGATAATCATGATTAAATTTTAAAGAAAACTATCGAATTACATTTTTAAAAACTCTTCTAACTAACCCTTACTGGATAAAACTGACATTTATGTTTATTGCTATCCAAGAAGCGACACTAAATGTATAGGATACATTAATAATAGGTTGGTTTGGTGTAAAACTAAAAAAAAAAAAAAAAATCACAAGTTACCAAACCAGCCTCAAGATCCTTTTTCTTTCTTACCCTAAATCAAAAATGAAACGGAATTCACTAATTTGTACCGTGGTTAGTTGGCATCCCGCAACTAGTGATTTTTCAAAATACTTTTTATTGACAATAAGCTAAGTAAATCCAAACAGAGATCAGTAAAAATATTTAATTTTTATTACCAATCATGTCACAAGAAGACCAATCACGAAAATTTATACACAGTTCACTTTATGAACAAATGCATACACAGTTCACTTTATGAACAAATGCATACACAGTTCACTTTATGAACAAATGCATACACAGTTCACTTTATGAACAAATGCATACACAGTTCACTTTATGAACAAATGCATACACATTCACATGAACAAATGCATACACAGTTCACTTTATGAACAAATGCATACACAGTTCACTTTATGAACAAATGCATACACAGTTCACTTTATGAACAAATGCATACACAGTTCACTTTATTTTATGCAATGAAATCAGTAGTTACAATTCACAAGATTTCAGATACATTTTTCTAACCGAGAAAAATAGAATACTTTCATAATTTTAATAATGGTAAAATAAAAAAGCCGTTATTGTTAACTCACGATAAGAGAACATCTGGCTACAACTGATGTAAAATATACTTGATAATAATAGTGAACATTTGATGTATAAGAATAACAAAAATGTAATAAAGGTTTCTTCAAATATTTAAAATTAAAAAAGAAAAATGCATGCACGCGTGGCAAGAAAACGAAAAAGTTAAAAACCGATGCATTGAAGAGATTTAAGATTAGCTGTGAAAAAACGAATTCTTGTTATAATTCTATGTAACGATACCAAGTTTTACTTTTGAAAGAAAGAAAGAATAAAAAGCTAGCTACCTAAAAAGTCTATCATGGCCGGCGTTAAGAAAATGAATAACCGACGACTACTAAACTAAAAAAAAAAAAAAAAAAAAGTACCTATTTTTAATCAACACCCAACCAAAAATTACATATTTCTTTACCTTGGGCCTCTCATGCCAAAACCACCTCTGGGTCCTCTTGGTGGGCCAGGACCCATTGGATATCTGCTACCAATAGATGGTTTATTAAAACCATCATTTTCAGGTTTGTGAGGCTCTTGATTATTGGAAGGCCCTCCTGTGACCGACGTATTATCATCCGCCATTACTGCTATATCTGCGGGGAATTATGGGAAGGTTATTGGTACATAATGGCCTCCCTTCTGTTTCCGTCGTTGTCAATTTTGCGTACGTTGGCCAATTCGAGAAGAGAAACAACAGCAACTATTAGAAAATAATGACGTTTACTTCTTCAATAAGGTGATTTTCCGACAATACATGGACACGTGACCTAGATTCGAACTTAATCACTTACCTTGTTTAAATTATATAACTTGATAAATTTTACTAGTTTTTGATTAGTTATTTTTACTTTTCTCTATGAACATTGCAACGAAAAATGGTAATTTGAAATTTAATTTTGCTTACAAAAATACACATTTTTAAAATTTATTCTGATAGAATAAAATTCTGAAGGTAAAATAAATTTACTTTTTTATTTTCGAATTTAAAATACTTAATTGGAAAAATTACTTAATTTTATTATTTTTATATTTTATTTTTTTTTAATTCTATCCCAGACAGAAAATAAAAATATACAAATTCGATAGCTGAACTTCATCGATCAAATAAATTCAAAGGAATTGAAAATTGTCGAAAAAATGCCCATTTTTTTTTTTTTTTTTGGATCTCATGGAGGTACCTATGAAAAATTAATTAAAAAAAATTGTCCATATTTTAAGAGATTGATGTCCTTTTTTT